AATAAGTTGGACTGGTCTAAGAATACAGACTTCATCTACAGAAAGGGGCAAAGCCGCCTCATTTGCATGAGAAGACTTCCACTAATGGACATCTGTAGTAAGATGCTGCAGATGTTTTATCAGTCAGTGGTAAACTGGTTAGAGAATGAAGGTGCAGGGGGATCATTTCACAAATAATCACATGAAAACTTTAGAGAAGTAAAATTCAGGTGGATCACAACTCTAGGGAAAGGATCTGACCTCATCAAGCTGGTAAATATTATAATATATTATTAGGAGATGTAAAAGGACAGAATGAAAGCATACTTTGGAATGTACAAGGTGTGTAATAAAGGATCTGATTCCGTGTTATTATCTGAAAGGTACAGTGTGACCTCTGGCATTAGAACACCATTTGAGGAAGAAAATTACACACAGGCACACTTAGTTATTCAGCTGTTAACACTGAGAGTGAGTGCAGCTGCATATATTGTACTTCAGAGGCTGTACAAAAGAGAGAGCAAGGGGTGAAATAACACGTAGCAAGACAGAACAAGAGGCTTCCAGGCTTAGAATAATTACTGCTAATTTTAACAATGTTTTATCCATTTGTTAAATTTGGATGCAGTTGAGCTTATGCAATACTTGAGTTTAATTTTTGGAACATACAACTCAAAACATTTTTTTAATGTGTTGTTTTGTACTTTGGGCTATGTATCATTGCTTACTGGTGGATTGTAACGCTACATAATGTAACATATTGCACCGCAATGTAACACAATGCAATGTAATGCAATGGAACACAACGGAATGCAAAGCAACGTAACAGATCATAACATTACAAAGCGCACCAGAAAGTTTTTTTCGCATCATATCATAGAGAATTGCATGATTTCGTAGCGTATCATATTTGTGTCACACACATGAAAATTTCCCAAAAAGTTTAGGCTAGCCTGAAATCTTTATGACTTGCTCTTTTACCAATGTCCCCCAAAGGCAAGAATTTCCATGTCAAGACAGGGTGGCAAGGGCTCTCAGGAGGAAAGATATGACATCAAAAGTCTGTCAAAATGTTCAAACTTATCAAAGTTGGCAGATGTAGCAACAAAGTCAGATGCTATGATGACAGTTTTAGTTTTATATTTGTGCTATGTGTTGCCACAGTATAAAGCAATGGGTGGAAAAGAACATTCTGATGAAAAAGTATGAAGCAGCTTTTAGACAGGTGGATGAAAATCTGACTGGTCATGCAGCAGCCAAAGAGTATGAATGGTGTTGTCATTGCCCACTCACCTGCAGTGGCTGTTACTACCTGTTCCATTCACACATCACCTTCCTGTGACATCTGACCACAAAGGGCTAAAAATATTTAGCCAGGTGCAACTCACTCCAGATATTTATGGAAATTTTGAAGAGAAAAGGCTGCATTACTCTAACACAACTTATGACTCAAAGACTTGTTAGTAAAAAAGAGAGTTTTTGTAAGAAAAATAAGAAATGATTAGCACAGCTGGAGATTTACAGACAGACAGCTTTAGAAAATAGAAAACCTATTGGGCACGGTTTCGGGTAAATGCCTTTATGATGAAAGTTTTATGCTCCTGCTTTGAAGCTAAGTAGAGCTGGCATTGTCGCCTCCGCAGGTATCCTGTGGGTCTGCACTAACAAGCAATTACATGACCAAAAGCCTGGCTTGCTGTTTTGTTTCTTTGACACTGTAACGGGCACATGCTTTTTTTTACTTTGTGCACTTCAAATAATAGTGACCATAACTGAGCTGTTATTGGAGTTGGAGTTAATAACAACTTTGCTGTTAAATGAAACTGCAGCAAAATGTAAAATGGCTGGGAATAACTAGTAAAGCAAATCCATCCACTTTCGCTGTTTCCTAAAGCACTTTCTCCTGCTTCCAATCAATGCTGGTCTCTCAGCCTCCTCAGTCTGGGTCAGTAAATATCAAACATGTTTAATATTTACAAATCCTGGTGGGACTACCTTTGATGGAACACCCCCCAATAACCAATGAGAGGAGCAGACTGGGAAGTGCCACCAACCGTACGAACAACTCTCAGCTGTGGCAGCAAATGTAAGCACAAATGTGCCCCCGGCATATCAGGTCTACTTTCTCAGTGTCTGTAGAGGTTTTGTTTACTTCCCAGCAACGTATTTATGCTTTTGACTTCTGGCCCAAAGCCCAGTGTGTGAGCTCTAACGCATAAGAAAAAAGAAAAGAGGACATTGATCCTGCATTGATGAATGCATTACTTAGGTTTGTTAGTCCAATATGAGAAGTTTAAGTGCGAATTCAGTCAGACAAACTAGTTTGCATGTATTTCAGTTGCAATTTCTAAACCAATTATAAGCTCAAAGGTGTAGTAGGCAGAATGTTTTTTTTATAGTTTTGCAAAAATGTCATTACAACCTTTTTAGTGTATTGAATTTGAAATGATCTGAGAAAAGATCACACTTCTCCCTCACCTCCTGGCTTTGTAAACAGACAGGAGAAAATCTGTTGCATGGTGGGGGGTGTAAGCCAATCGCGAGCCAGTTGAGAAAGTAGGCTTGTCCCTAAGTTACATCTGTATGTAAACGCTGATGCCTTTTTTGCGACACAACACCAGTCACAATGGCAGATAGAGAGAAAAAGTACCGATCCCTGCATTGGCAGCAACTGCCTACACTAAAAAGCCGGCCAAAAATCGTACTTGCACTCACACTCACACACTCACACAAACACTGCAATGACATGGAGAGCAGGAACGGAAACTACGCTCTGTAATTGTTCCAAAAATGCAAACAGTGCAGGAATATAGGAGCATTTAATTCAACAAAAGAACACTGATGTAAACATTTCACATGGCCTTGGTCAGTGACTCACAAACCCACACAGGAGATGACTTGTAAATGTGCTGTTTCCTGAGTTGAGTCATCTTTTTTGTTCATTTTTTTTAATAAGTTCCTGTTAAAGCAATATTAGAATAGTCCTAAATAAAAAAACACCATACAGCAGCTTCATGTAGGAAATAACGACTTGAGTGAACAAAGCAGAGGCTGCCAGGTGAAAATTCTGTGAAATCCATCAGTGACCCTTGGGAAGGCGGCATTTACTCCATGTTTTAGGGCCCTTGGACCTCTAACCAATCATGTTAAACACAGGCCAATCAGCAAAGATGAAAAGTAATGTAATTTAGCTCTGGGCTCTTTGTTGGATAGATATTACCTGTGCTTATTATGTCACTCAGACAGGAAAGCAAGCCAGTTTTTAATAGGAAGGCATGTGATGAGAGCTGCAATTATATCCTGAAATGGACCTGTGTGCAGGGAGGTAAATGGAGAGCTTGATCATCAGAGCAGGGGCAGGGGCATACTAATGTGGGAAATCTCTATAATCAAAATCTGGAAGGAAAACTAATCACACAATCCTCTTTTTTTCTACAGCTCACTTTTGTTTTACAACCTATCACATTATTAAGCAGCCACAACTGAGATCAACCTTCAACTGATTCTAATTCAACCAACCAGATGAAAAACCTCATGGTGAATTACTCAGGATGAAATCTGGGTATAACGTTTGCACAACCACTTTATTGGCACAAGCGGTGAGGAACATGATGCAAGGACAAATAACATGGGCAGCTTTTGCAAGGACATGCAACTCAGTTATGGTCAAAACTGAACAACAACAACAAAAAAAGCTTGAAACAAAAAACATCTCAACTAAATCTAACAAAGCCTCCTAGCTACAAACTCTCACAGTAAGGAATAGAAGCAAAGTCATACCAGAATCTGTAATGTTTTCTACAACATACCACTTAAAAAAAGTACAAAGTGTATCCTGTTGCATTTTTCGTTGCATGCATACTAGTGCAGCATGTATGTATATGATAAACCTCAGTTATACGATTTCATCATTATGCTAATCTTTGCCTTCAGGCCTCAAGGCTGTGTGTGTTGCAGGTGTCAGAGGGGATGCACTGAGTGTGCACTGATGCCATGAACTTAATGTGTTTCTGTTTAATGAGCTCCTTCAGCTGACTAGGAGAAATGCATAGGATAAATGATTTATAACACTGACCACGGTGATGCATGTTAAACGTAAAAGAAGGCGGGGAAGGTCCTATCAGTTAATAAAACAAGAAGCTTCGAGGCACAAAAGGTCAATCAAACATCAGCTTTAATAACATGTATAGTCAGATGGGGCCTGAAGGTGTAGGTGTTATTGAAAAAAATGCTAATGTGCACATTTTTTCTATCCTCGACATGCATGGAGGCCAGCCAGCAAAGTTGTAATGGGTACAAAATAAAAGATAATTAAAATGTGGCAATTCAGTTTTTATATTTTGTCAAACTATCAAAGGCTGATATCCTTGTAGAGAGATGTGAAGCCAAAACCCCACACCGATGTCATTTTACGTTATGTTTAAAGTAGGGTTTGTTTAGGACATGCAGCGCTGGGAAAATTTGTTTGCGGGGGGGGGGGGGGGGCAGAACAAAGCTAAATGGCCATAAATAATTTGAAATGTTTTATGGGTCTGATGGATGTTTGAGCAAATATTTGTCAAGAATAATTGAATTGCCAAAGTTACATAAGCTGCTGTCTTGGTTGCAGTGTACCATTTAAATTGGTGTTGAATGTCCCATTCTTGTTGATGATTAATACAGTGTCATATTAATGCAACAAGAAAGTCAAAGTAATTATTATTATTATTATATGTTACTTATCACAGTGAAGTGTTTTGATTTAAAGGACAGTGAGATGCCAAATATTCCTAGTCCTAGCAGCTGATCAGCATTTTTGCCCCCTAGTGGCCAACAAGTAAATTAGACTGGTTTAAATTTATTGTTTTCAAATCAAGAACCTTTCCACTTTTTTTGCAATCATCTACAAAAGTAAAACAAATGAAAATGTTTTAGTTAAAGGAAAGAGCACATTGCACACATGATCTCTGAATGAAAGCCTTTATTCTAAACAATGTTAATATAAAAAAGGAAAATTGAAAAAAGACATTTTTTAAATACATGTACAAAGTTTGGTAAGACAGAACTGTAACAAATGATGTCTAATCCAAAAATAAAATGCATGATAAAGGACTGTTTAAGTGGTTAGTACTCTATAAAGTAACAGTTTGTAAAAATATACCTCAGTTTGTCTGATTTTTAAATATATGGGGGGCTTATATTTTCATTCAGCAGGCCTGAGTCGGACTGTCTGTGTTCAGAGAGTCTTACACTCATCACTGCTGGAAAATGCTTTGGGAGTTCCTTGAAACAGTTGTTAGGGAAGGAGGAAAAAAAATCACGTCACAAGCTGGGCAAGATGTTTCTGGCTTACTAGGTTTGTTTAGCAGCCAGTGCAGGCGGCGAAGGCACATATTTCACAAACATCCATGGGAACTGCAGCTGAGGTAAAAAGCAAACCAAAAGGACAGATGTCAGCTTCACTCTTGAATCATATGATGATTAATATTCATGATCTGACAGGTTCACAGTAAATCCATCACATAAATGGAGCTGTTGAATAAGTAATGTTCTCACCTAGTCTAGTGAGAGATGCAGACGCTCCTCTCTGCCTGCAGAGGGGCAGGAACTCCTGAGGGAGCATGGGGTCAGCACACAGGGACATGGTGCTCGCTCTGAGCCGGGGATTTTGCTGCTCAGCTGCAACACTGTCTTCTGACAGCTCCTGAAGCCTCTTGACGGCTTCAAGGGAGAAAGATAATCCATTCTCCTGAAAAAAAAGTAGATAGTGGTGGTAAAAAGATGCATCAAACCTAAGATCCTGTTTGCAAGTCTGGCATTAGTTAGGAGTGGTAAAAAAATACAAGTTTAAGATTTCCAGCTTTTTTTGGCATGGTCTGAAATGCAGTGGAGTAAGATTTCGGGGTTCTTAATTCTACAATTTAACTGCACATACTAAAGGCATCTTTGAACTAACTATTTTTTTTCCATTAAATGAAGCAACTTACTTCAACCTGCACGGCTTCAGAGGTCCAGCCAAGAGCTAGGACAAGGACAGCAATGGTTGCGAGTACAGCCTTCATAGTTACAGATGACAACGGTTTGTCTTGCAGCGTCTTTGTCTCGTGCTATTGTCTTGCTCAGCAGGTGCTCAGCTCAGTGTGTGCCTTCTCTCCGTCCACACGCCTCCTTTTAAACTGTTCTGACTTGCAGCTCTGTGGTCATGTGACCACAGGTGCTGCAAATGGGAGCTAAGTTTTTCCCACGGGTTAATGAGTAGTGACGGGTGTTTTACCGGCTGTAAAGGAAAAATTTATAAATCCTACTTTGACCTCATCACTCGTCTGATTATGTTTATAACCCCTGGCTCACTTGGCTTGGCTGTCTGTCATTATTGGTCGCACCTTTAGTGAGTTAAACAGTTACTATTTGATCAACTGATGACAAAGAAAAAATGCCAACCCACTGTTACACACCCCTGAGCAAATAACCAAACTTTGTTTTATATGCTGAAGTGTCAGACAGATCCTGATTACACTGTTCAGATGTGTGCCCTGTTTTAGATTATGGTGCAGGGGTTAGGTGTAGCTGTAAACAATCTTAATGTGAAGCAGTGTAGAACAGAGTCATATGCTGTTGTGAAAAATGTAAATGTCCCTAACTAGCAAAATACGGTGACATGGGGTGGGAACCACTTGGCATTTTAGAGACATAATACTATTCATCAATATGCTGCATAACAGACTCGAGTATATATACAGTAATAAGTTAATGCGCAATGATGAAACCAAACTTATTTTAAAAATCCTTAACTGAAGGTAGCAATGCAAAACTAGGAACATATTGTCTGCAAAGGTCTGGTTGTGCGCAAAAGAAATGAAAAGACCCAAAATGCAGACTTAACTTTGAAATTTAATGAAAGTTCAAAAGGGAATTAGCAAAAAACCTACAAATCCCAAACCCCCAAAACACTAGGAAACAGAGAACTAACACATGGAGGAAAACTGAAGTGCTGAGAAAACAACAAGCAGAAAGAGAAAGACAGAGACTATATACACACTGGGAAACAAGCGACAGGTGTGAAAGATAAGAAACAGGTGACATTAACAAATAAACGAAGCAAACAAGAACCTATCATGATACTGTACCACAGGAGGACGGAAAGTATTCTCTACGTGATATGAGTTAGATTAAAGCTTAAATAAATGTTGCCTTGCATTTTAATGCCATATGAGGAAAACATATCCACAGCATCCATAGTAGCTTTAACAAACCATTAAATATATATGCAAATATTACTTTTTTCCCTTGCGAGTTTCCTGCAGAGTGCTCATTAGCTCATGCTGTGGAATAATCAGATGGTATTTACTGAATAGCACTGCACAAAGTGAGTGTTATTTCTGCTTCTGCTGCAAAAATACAAAGTTCAATTTACTTACTGAGGCTGTGAGCCCGGTCAGATCTGAATTAATCACCCTTAGCAAACATAAAATAGGATTAAACTTGACAGTGTGTGTGTGTAGAGCAACGTTTGTAAATGCTTGAAGGAAATAGGTGTGGGCTGACTCATAGCACAAAGGAAAGGAGTTTGTGGGTCATTTTGGTGCAGCAAATAACATACTTAGCAACAAATGTGCTGCCCTTGAGGCTAAATAATTGTCCTTCTAGCAAACGGTTCCGGTAATGAGGTCAAAAACACAGATCCACACACTGGCTGCTGCAGGCATCAAATTGATGACCTTCCAGCAATGGCACAACTATCTAATCGCCACACCTGAAATCAATTCAGCCCACTTCTAAGTGGCATCAAGCGTGCAGCCATAGACACATGCAAAAGTAAAGGTTGCAGGCCAGCGACACATCAGTGAGGTTTATAATGAGCTGATTAAATGCAATTTTTTGCACAGAGCATGAAGGACCTACTTATCTACCCAGTAGACTCCAAGGTGGCACACTGCAGCCCTACAGTGTCCCCATTTCAAACTTTAATTTCTGTCTAGTCTTTCTCGATTGCCTTAATTTAATTAGTAATGTCTGTGGAAACGATTTGTGAGGTGATTTCAGACAATAACGGATGAGAATGGTGTAATTAATCTGCTTTTCATTATCAGCGGCTCTTCCAAAAGAACTTTGACTGCCACTGAAGCAAGGCTGCCAGCAATTATCATACACAGCCAGCATCTCCATGTCAGGCTATGCCTGACCCAATATCTTTAAAGAGACAGAATGTTTTTTGAATTGTCGATGGCAGGCGCAGTAGTCTCAGGGGATCCTGGTCACCTTAGCTCCTTTCCTGTAAAACAGAGTTCAGAACCAGCACAGATCTAGGTTATCAACAGCAACAGGTGGGGCCAACTTTATCCCGTAATAAGCTGATTTAAGAAAGTCAGGCTCTTAAGTCTCATGTTGGTGCAGATGTACACTCTTTTATTTGTGCATTATTCAGCAAAGTGACACATACATATTCCTTCCACAGGTAATACATACATACACAATCATGGACAAGTATTTCATACAACCCTGATTAAAAAAGATTTAAAAAAAAAAAAAAGAACAAACTTTATAACTTTCTTTACAATATTATTAAATTCATTGTTCTCAGAATATCTCCATTCAATGGACACTTCTACTCCAGGCATCATTTCCTGTCTCTGGTACAAAGTTCCGAACCTTTCAAAATAATGCTTTCACACTGGGCATGAACCAGATGTTAGCCAGACCAAGATCCAGGGGAGGTTTTAGTCCTTTATTTTGGTTGGGACCATACAGAGAAGTCTGAAAGTCCAGACCAAACAACGTTGGTTTGAAAGTCCCCCAAATTTAAAGGTCAACTATAGTCTTCAAACTTTATATGAAAACAAAAGGTCCTGAGCAGATAAAGAAGAGTTAGCTTTTAGTGCAAATCCTTTTATCTACTTACAGTATCCCCAGGTACCCCCTTTGACACCCCTAATAAATAAACTAAATGCAACAACTTTTACCACTTTTACCGTTTTATTTGCTCTTGATGCATTTTTATCATGACAGCTGACAATTGAAGTCATTTTGTATCCATCAAAATGTAGAGCTGCTGTCACTAACTCTGCTGCAGTTGCCTGGATTGCAGGACAGGCTGTTGTACTTTCTCATGATGAAGTTGGTGCAACCCGAAAGCTACTGAGGCTGCTGTCATGCCTGTGCTCAATAACTGCTTAACTCTTCCATATTTGATGTTTAAATACTTGCCTATCAACACCTGGGCCAGCTCCACCTTGTGTCTAGTGTATGATGGGATTGGATCCAACTGCCAGTATTTACACACAGTCAAGTGGTTGATAATGACTTGATAAATGATGGAAAACTGCATTATCCTTCATTTTCTGTATTAGTCACCATCAGTCGGACTATATGCATCATACAGGCCATCCAGATGAGTAGACAACACTGATAATGACCTGTTAATCAATAACCTTTACTCCAGACAGGTAAGGCCCTAATCAGTTGTTTTTTAAAGCAGGCCAACAGACTGTCATGAAAGAGGTCATGCTATCCAGCGGAAATGTGTGGGCAGAACAATGTGATGTTCAGCACAGAGAAACTAAAAGTCAGAGGTGAAACTTGTTGGTTTTTTAATTTTGTTTAAAAATTCAAACTGCGTGTATGAGGTGGTGTTTCAGTGAAGGTTACTGCACCCACTGACCTCAGTCACCTCAAATAAAACAGCTGTGATGCTCTTAGAAGCTGATTAGTGATTGATTTGAAGTCAACTTTCTTAGCTTGACCAAATCTATGAGATGAAAAATGGTCAGGAAGTCAGGAGGGTCAATTTCTCAGACAGGTAAGACTGATGGTGACAGTTCAGACAGGAGGGAAGTAAATCATCAGCCTGAGTGTGAAAAGATTATCCCAGAGTGTTTAACTGACCTCCTCTGACCACAGACTTCTTACATTCAAGTCGCTCAGCAAGCAGAGTTGCCTATTAAGGACACTTCATCAAGGTTTGTGTGTCTAAACATGAACCTGCGACCTTCTTGAGTGTTGGACTTCATCAACCATAAAGCAGAAAAACAAGCTGCAAACACCGGGACATTAGCACCTCATTTATTGGGGCTTGACAAAGGTCCTGAAAATTTATGAGAGTTTGCAGAATCTCAAGATGTGCATTTTTAAGACCAGTATTTTTAGGATGTTTTCTCTCATTATGTCATGTCATGTATTTAAAGAAAACAATAGTTTACTATCAAGTAATGACCTGTGCTCACAGTCTTGAGTCAGGTTCCTGAGTTCCTGCACAGCAGCAGTCTATCCGACCCGAATCAGTCTGGCTTTAAGCAGGGCTACTCTTCTGAAACTGTCCAAAACACATACAATATGATCGGCAAGAGCTGCTGTTCAGGCCCCAGTTCTAATACTGCTGGATCTGTCTGCTATGTCTGACACAGTGAACCACCTCTTCACACTCTCTGTGCTTGGCAATGCAGGATTTTCCCTTCACTGGTTCACATCCTACCTCATAGAGAGATCATTTAGAGTATCATTGAGGGAATAAGTGTCCAAACCACATGGCTCATTAGCAGGAGTGCCTCAAGGGTCACTGCTTGGTCACCTCCTTTTCTCAGTATACACCCCTTCACTTCCCTTAAATTGAGAAAACTGTGATTACTGAGTACACTGTAATATATGATGAATACTGTATATCTCCAAGCGATTACAATTTTCACATATGTGATTAGCTCACAGACATTATATCTAAGACTTGGACTCAAACCTGATGCTGTAAAACAGTAACTACATTTAACAGGAAGTCAAAATCAGATTTCTGGAAACAGTGAGTCATGGATCCTTTATGATGAAACTGAAACTGATAGGAGTGAAGGTAAAAGTTTACATCGATATCTGTCGAAGAAGGTGCGACTGGAGTAGACAGATAATCACTTTCAAATATGATGAGGAAACCATAAAAATCCTTCAGTTTTCTCTTTTTTCTCTCTTCAATAGCAGCAAACTCAACCATCCAGGAAGTCTATTCATGAAATTCAGTCAGTACTCATTCCATCCTGGACGACGGCCAAATATAAACAATAATAACCTACTTTCAGTGATTAAGTAGCTGATAAGATTAGAAAAAAAACAAAAAACAAACAAACAAACAAACAAACAAACAAACAAACA